AATTTTAAATACATAATTTTCCTACATTTTCCGGAATAATATATAATAAACTATATACAATATACAATATACATGAACGGTTTTCTATGTTTTATTTATAATGATGTGGGTAATTCAAAACAGTCTGAAATTTTATCCTACCTTAATCTGAAGATTTTCGTTAATAAATGCATGGAAATTTCTTCCACACACAAAGGCCAGCAGCGTGGAACTAGACGTGTCTGCTTTGACGTTATGCTGATGTTTAAAACTGTTTGCTGAATGTTGACATACACTTGCATGGAAGAGGGGAAAGGAGCAAATGATCATGAATTTTAATAAAAATTTCGAGTATTATTGGGAAACACACTTAATTAAGTAGTTTTCAATAACTAAATTCAATTGTGCCCATAGGCAACTACAAAGTTTAGTTTTTCAATTTATGCGACCGTGCACTTAAACAGTTCTTTATCCGCTCATAATTTCATGAAAATAATTCTCGAACTCATTAATAAATCTTGAGTAAAAAATACAAAACAAAAGCAAACCATCACGTGTCGTTGTTGCTATTTCTACCGCCCATACAAAACCTCAATTTTCCAGCACCTCGTTTTTCTACTTACTTTTCCGTCATTTATACCCCAGTATAATAAGCGCTTGCTCGTTTAGTGTATATTACTTAAAAAATAATGAAAATTATGCTTTTGAAAAGACACCATGAATTGATGTCATATATAATTTCCAAAGTTTTCATCGAAACGCAAACCAGGCACTGTGAAAAATTTTGTAATTTTATGTCCGATAGATAAACACTATAGAGATAAATTTACAACCCAATACAACTCTTATCCCCAACCGTCACTGAAGTGTTTAAACAAAAGTAGGTTCAGTGACGTTTAGAGTTCAGTTTTGTTTTATGATCAGGCTTTAGTTAATGTAATTTCGTTTTTCGACACCTTACGACACCAACCTCGACGCAAAAGAAATGGACAAGGAGTGGAATTCTTTGGGGCGGTCGTAACGATTCTTATTTGCCTGCTGGGTTCGCGGTTGTAAGGTCAAATTTCCATAAGTAGGTACACTAACATCTGAAATGGACTGCATATTAGGCACATTACTTTCCGGTAGTTGGTCTTCGTTGGCCTTTTATTAGTGCTTATGGGAACGTACTGCGTTGTAGGTGTGACAGAGGATATTTCAATAGCACCAGGGGATTTTTCTACCTAGCCGAGGACATCTTTCCTTCTAATTTGGAGATACTTGATTTGAGATGCAAATTTTCTTCATGCAATTTGCATATGTCTTGTTTATTTGTATTGATAGTTTCGATCGTCTTGCTTAGTGAGTTTAGACAATAAGTTTGATATTTCATATTTAACTTTCTATTTAATAAAAATTGTCAAATAATGCTTTAATTGTAGTGATGTTGTTGCCCTCACGGGGGAAAATTTACAAATTCTTGTTCCACAGTACCCTTCGTTACTTCACTGTGTCGGGAGTTAATAATATTACAAAATGAATCGTCAATAAAATTCTCAAGCTCCGCAAGCGACGAATTATCAATAGGTGATATTATACATGTTTTGCCGACAGCAATCTCGGCTCCGTAATCATTATTCTCGGTTGTTAGGTTGCTTACTTCGCTTCTATCACCGGTGCAAGTTGTTGTTACTGAGACTTCGGCAGAATGTACGCCTGTATCACTCTGATGGGGCAACATAAGTTCACTATATAGGCTTACCAGTAATTCCTTTAAAGACTCCCCTTCACTACCTTGAGCAACTAGTGTTCGTTGTTTGCCGCGATACCAAGTTATTGTCAGATCTGAGTTGCTTATAAACTTCTTAGAGTTCTCACGTTTCCCATCATAGACAAGAGTGTTGTTGTTTTTATACGTTCGAATATCGTCTAAATTCACATTTCCAACATTAAATTTAGTATTGGGAATGTCTATGGAGCTAACCTTAGCATGACCGTCCGCCACGATCGCTGTCATCGGATTGGATTGATATAGCTATGCATGTCATAGTATCGAACTGTTTAGTCATTTTTTGGCTTTCACTTATGCGATGAGCAATGAGCTTGGAGAATCTGCAAAGTGAGTTCTCTGGTACCACTCCATTAATAGATAATACATGCATGCTTGATGCAAATTCAGAAATAAATAACAATTACGATCCTTTATCGAATATCAAAGCGCTGAAAGGTTTACACTTAATATTATTAGTCTTGTAAGGCACATAGCAATCAACGAGACGTGTTTAGACGCACAATTGCTGACAAGGATATTTCGATAATAGGATATAATGTAGTACGTAAGGATAGAAATAGATACGTGGGGGGGGGGGCTATACGTAAAGGAGACATGGAATTTTTTAACCAAACAAATAATTTCTGATATTGATCTTGAAATATTAACTATCGAGATTATATAGGTAAATTCGTAAAATCATTCTTGATTACTACCTGGTACAGACCTCCAGCAAGTGAATGAAATATTCTAGATACATTTGAAACCTATCTCCAGTCGCTAGAAATGGTGAAAAAGAAATCTATAATACTAGGTGATTTCAATTGTAATGTCCTGGGGATAAATGAAACTCCGCATACATCAAAACTTACTTCTCTGTATGACGAACATCAGTATACTCAGCTTATTAAACAACCCACACGTATAACAAGCAGTACTCAAACTTTAATTGATCACGTTGCTACAACAGCGTCTCATCGTATAAGGAGTAGTGGAGTATGTCATGCACCTTTCTATCAGTGACCATATGGTTGGATATATGCAGTGCGTCGTATGATAATACCACTCGAGCAACCTAGGATTATTGAGACCCGTAATTCTAAAACCTTTGACATGAATGCATTTGCAGAAGATTTACAAAGAATACCATGGGAACTGTTGAACAGATTTCATGATCCTAATGAAATTTGGCGAATGTGGAAGGTTTTTTTAGATAGAGTTTTGGATGCTCATGCACCAATTAGAACTAAACGAGTTAGAAATCGTGATGCATATGCCCCGAGGATTACATCCGATATTAGAGACATGATGTTTCGTATGGATTATCTCCAAAAGCATGCTGTCAAAAATCGTTCTGAAGCAAACTGGATTGAATACTGTAAACTGAGGAACAAGGTTAATAATAAGCTAAAAACATGCAAAAGAAATTACTTTGTTCAAAACCTTGAGGCGAATAAAGGCAACACCAAGAAAACGTGGAAATTGCTAAATAACCTTTTGAATAGACCAACCAAAGGGATTAATGTGAATATTTCAAAAAACGAATCGGGTATTATAAGTGATAAGAAACTTATAGCTGAAAATTTTAATGAGCATTTTATTAAATTGGGACCGGACCTCGCCCTTGAGATTCCGAGTATAACTTTAAATCCTTGCACTTATGTGAATCAAAGTACAAGTAAATTTAATTTTAAGTACGTTAGTGCTGGTCAGGTTGCGGCTGCTATAAGGGATATCCCTCTAAAAAGGCATCTGGCCTAGGCAAAATACCATGTAACGTGATCAAGGGTGTTGCAGGTATCATATCCGAGTCTCTTTCAATTATTTTTAATAAATCTTTAATAAGTGGTATCTTTTCCGATGACCTAAGAAGTGCAAGGGTAGCCCCAATTTTCAAGAGCGGAGACCGATCGGATGCAAATAATTATAGACCAATATCTGTATTGTCAGTAATAGCTAAAGTTTTTGAGAAAATCGTTTTTAGCAATGTTATGAATATTTAAGTGATAATAACTTATTGTCACAAAATCAGTCGGGTTTCAGACCTCAACACTCTACTTTGACGGCCTTACATAAAGATACTATGTTTTGGCTCAATAACATGGACAAAGGGAACTTGAACATAGCTGTTTTTGTTGACCTCAAGAAAGCCTTCGATACTGTGGATCACACTATCTTGTTGAATAAATTGCAGTATTACGGCTTTATTGGTGACGAATTAAAATGGATCCAATCATACCTTTCTAATAGATGCCAAAAATGCTTTATAAATGGGGTCCGTTCAAATCCAAGTATAATAAAATGTGGTATACCACAGGGATCGATACTAGGCCCGCTGCTGTTTCTGATCTTCACTAATGATCTTCCGGGCTGTTTCGCACATACAACATCAAATATGTATGCAGATGACACTAGTATCACTATGGGAAACGAAAATTTTAACTTAACCTTATGGAAAACAGAAATAATGAAGATCTACAAAATGTGTGCATTTGGCTGAGAGCCAATCATCTTAGTCTCTGTTAACGAACGATATTATTATATGAAGTACTTGCTATCCTGACCGCTGAAATAGTCGCGCGGGCGACAAAACGTAGTTTGAACGTTCTAGTTTATATGTTTCCGACTACAAAAAGTGTGACAATATTTAGGCTATTTTTGTGTTTAAAGACTCGGAATAAAGTGGCGAATTATCTCGTGTAGACATTTCATAGACAGTTCAATTAATCGGGAACAAGTTTGGTCCTTCGACAGCCGGATCTGCTGACAAAAGAACGAGAAATTCGCGACTTTTGTTGTGAATGTGCGAGCAAATATGGCGCTTAGTACGAGTGGACAACGACAAGACTTGCCGGGAGAAGAGACAGACCAGGGTGTTGAAGCTGTAAACATTATTCAAAATGTTCATCTCGCCGACCACGAAAGTAAAAAAGAAGAAAATACATTGAATATAGAAAGCAAACAAGTGAGTACCAAGATTCAAACTTTACGAAGTAGTAAGAAATCGGCTAAAACCAGGCTGACAAAAGCTAAGAAACAATTGAACGACCTAATTGAAAAACAACTTCCTAGTGTACCATTGCCGAGTAAAAATGCCATAAGAAGAGCTATTAATAAAGTTAATTCCGAGATCAGTATTATTGAAAAAATTATTTCTGGCTTAAAAGAGATTTATGCTGTGATTGCTGAAAATGAGGAGACCAACACAGTTATCGAGACTTTAGACAAAGAACTTGAAGACATCGGGTCTTCAGTCGATTCAATAATTGTAATGGCTGAACAACATCTCGAGGAAAGACTTGGCAATGGAGAAACTGACTCAGTGTTAACTTCACTTCGATCACAAGAAACTAGTCCCCAGTCTCCAGTTATGTCGAAAAAATCCTCAAATGTGGAACAGAAACAAAAAGAGGCAAAGGAGGCTAGTGAAAGGGTAATCCAAATGGAAAACGAACTGCGAGTAAAGGAGCTAGAGATCCAAAAGCTGACCGCTGAGCTTCAGCTGACAAAACAGCGAACCGATGATGCAAGGAAAGTTGCTGCTCTCAACAAATCCCGGGCTGAAGAAGCAGAACGAAGATCGCAAGTATCGGATAATGATACAGTACAGAACTTCCTTATTAACCGTCACTGAGAAAAACATTCAGAGCTACCCAGTGAAAACAAAGAACAAAGACAGACATTTTCTCCCATTAGACTTAAAGGAGTGGATCTCCCTATCTTCTCTGGCGAAGAAAAAAGTGATTATGAATCCTGGAAGGCAGCATTCCTGTCTGTTGTCGATCGTCGTGATATTCCTGTCGGAGAAAAATGCTTAGAGTCTTGAGTATTCCCTTAGACAAGATCTTGGGTATTCCCTTAATGCGTATGAAAAAGCGAAGGCTAAATTGGAGAAGAAGTACGGAGGGGAGAGACGTTTACAGATAAAACACCTAACAGCTTTGCGCAATTTCCGGAAAATTCGTCCTCGAAATCTGTTCGACCAGTTCCTATGTATCAGAGGAAGCAGCAGAAGAGCTTGAGTTGCATGGACAAAACGTAAACCTTACGATTGCAGGAACAGGGGGCATCGAGATCCAGAAAAGATCCCGCCGAGTGGAACTAAATGTGACTAGTCTAGATAGGTCATTTACAACACCTGTTCAAGCACATGTGTTAGATAACATTGCGAGCGACACACCAGCCATACAGTGGTCAGAACTCAAGGAAAAGTGACCTCACCTGCACAAGATCCCTTTCGACAATGTTTCCAGGCGACAGCAGATTGATGTCATGCTTGGCAGCGATAATCCAGTATTCCACTACGTATTAGAAGAAGTTCGCGGCAGCCAACCAAGTGATCCCGTAGCACGTCTAACGAACTTGGGCTGGGTTTGTTTTGGGCCAACGTTGGTCAACGAGTTTCGGCGCAACTCTCGTTCCCACTTCACACGCACGTACCGTAGCTGCCATGTAGACCAGCAACCACCACCGGACGACATTCTACGCAAGTTCTGGGAGCTTGAGGCACTCGGAATCAAAGAAACGTCTGAGAAACAGGCTATGACAGCCGACGAAAGAGCAGCAACTGCAACTGTAGCTGGATCCCTAAAGCTTGAGAATGGTTTGTACGAGGTAGGAATCCCTTGGAAGGACGGAGAGCCGAAGTTGACTAACAATTACGAAGCGGCGTTATTACGACCCCAAAGTCAAGAGAAATCCCTCAGAAAGAAAGATCCTAGTATCCTGGAAGCCTACAGTAAAGTATTCAAGGACTATGAGAAAAAAGGCTACATTCAGAAAGTACCCATGTCCGAAGTAGAACAGCAGTGGTTCCTCCTACATTTTCCGGTCATTAAGCCAAGCAAAGATACGACTTAAGTGGCTGTCTCACTAAGAACCATGCAGAGCGTTTCAAGTTGAAAATTAGATTTCCTTTATATTTTTACCATGAACTACCTTTGTCCTAAAAGGTATTAAACTAAGATTAGAATTTCTAAATTTTTCTTTTTTTTTTAGTTATGACGAATTTTTGTCTAGACGTCAGCGACTCTGAAATTTGACCCAGAAAACGGCGGTCAATTGTGTGTTAAATTGTGCATCATAACTCGGAAAGTTTCGCGTCAAATTAAAAACTTTTTTCAGCGTATTGAGACATATTCTTCTTCTTTTGAATGCTGAAAGAATTTCAATGTACATCTTATTTTAAGCCTACTACTCTCCATTCAAGGAAGTCGGTATTTTCGTTCGCCGAACGACTAATTATTAGGTACAAAATTCAAACTAAAAATTCTCAAAAGTGCAACCTACTTGGTGGCTAAAACACTTTTAGGGTTAAAGTAGAATACTTGAAGTTATGTTATTCGCAATAAAACTTGTCGCAAAAGGAATATGAAGGAGTACAAAATTCATAAATTATGGCTATAAATGGCTCTATTGTTTACCTTTGTGACAACCGGAAACACGTTCAGCGTTACTCGTGGAGCTTTTATAAATTTATATTAGCAATTATTATAAATATAAAATAGTGTTTATAAGTTCTTATATTTGAATACACACACCGCCTTGTAATTTTTTAAGCTTTCGGGAAGCCTTTACAATTGGTCGTTTTAAACTTGATTAAAATCACTAAATTGTTGCACGCCAACATAATGTACAATATATTATCGTTGTTTAATATGTCTGATGAGTGTGCCATAAATAGAATACACGCTATATTACGAAAGCAACAACTTTATAGTTAACTTGCTACCTGGATAGTTATTTTTCGCGTGTTAATTCTTCAACAAACAATTTAATCTCGCAAATGTAATCTTTAATCAAACGTTCGGGAGTTGCCGAAAAAATTTCGAGGTAGATTACGTTTGCAGCCAAATTTTAAGTTTCTCTAATTTATAAAATAATAATAAAAAAAGCACAAAGACAAATGCTTGTGGACCACTTGTGGAAAAAGTTTGCTGAGGTAGACGTATGCCGTCCTATATACCACGACGCGTATGATTTATGTGACATGTACAAACAGAAGAGCCTATGGCCCGGTTTAGACGGCGAACTTTTAATGCGCCGAATCTAATTGCCGTAGATACGGCAAAATATTGGAAACTGATTTAGACGTCAACTACTTAATTGTGCCGTACCAAATTGCGAGGACACTATATTGGACATATTTACAATGCAAATATATGGTAATCATATTATGATGTTAAAAAATAATTATGCCATTAGGTTCGGCGCATGAAAAGCACGGTGTCTAAATCAATGTCGAACTTGTGTCGCATATACGACTTGTCTTGTCACATCTTCGAGTCGTGTCGAACTTAATCAAAACCTGTCGAACTTAATTGATTTAGACGCCGTCCCAGCGTCGCACTTAATCCTTACATTAGATTCGGCGCATGAAAAGTTCGCCGTCTAAACCGGGCCTATAGAAATTTGTGCGCATTTTGAACTTCAGTTCAAATCAAATGATAAAAAACAGATTCTCATAGATAAAATATCATCCATGATTGGACAATGCACATGTTTCCAAATAAATAACTAAATTGTGCAGGTGCGGACAAATACTCCCAGACTAACTTGGACATGTCGAGAGATGTCATTGTTCTTGGTCCGCGAGTGTGAGGAGCCTGGAACAGTATCGTTAACCCAAATCAAGTATCAAAAACGCCGCATACAAACTACGATGTTATGTATTTTTATTGCTATAATTTATACTACTATATATTATGAGACAAATCAAATGTTGCCGAAAAATACCAATTGAAGTTGAAAGTTATTCACAGAATGGCGATTAGCTGCAAACTACTGTATAAGATTATTATTATTGCTGTATAGACTAAAGATAAAGGACAGATCTCAGTATACGTCGCAGCTATTGGCCCGATTTATACTAGAGACGGATCATCCGTCAAGACGAATCATCCGTCTGACGGATGATCTGTCTAAGTATAAACACAAGACGAACTATCTAGACGAACTATGTAGACGAACTATAGCCCCGTTTACACGACAGTCATTTTGGGTACGGCACGCTTAAATTTTGGCATGCGGACCCATGCTTTTTGGTCCACCTGTTGCGTTTACACGACGAAATTTTTGTTCTAAAACTTTTGGGTTCAGCACGCTTAAACTGGGAACGCCACTCAAGACGCAGTGTTTCTTGTTCGCACTGTGCACGCTTTCAAAATGGCATCCTATATTTTTATAATATTAATTTATTGCTTTATTACAAAGTTGTTTATCGCCATGAAGGTCAATGTCAAATGAAATATCATGATCCATAGCTTAGAAAATTAAAACACTTTCATATAATAGTTTTTCAAGCACCAACAAGTACAGATTTCGCTAGGTTTATATGACTTTATAAGCTTACAGTTGAAAAAATACATGCATGCATGGAAATACACAAACTTTGTATTTTTTACGAAAATGTTAATAATTGTCTGGAAATACTTCAACACAAATTTTTAAAAACTTAAACTATCTCAATAAAAATATATTTTCTGCTTATTTTACTCCGGAAAGCTGAGAGAATTGGTAAAAATGAAATGTTAATTTAATGCTCGGAATAAAGTTTAATACACTTTTCGCTACACCAAAAAGTTATGGCTGAATAGATCAGATATTTCATGTCAGGTCAAGGTTTTGACCCTGAATGTAAATGGTTTTGACCCCTTCAGTTTCTCTCGCCATTCCTTGCTCGGGCTAAAATTCTCATGCACGAGATTTGGAGAGCAGGGTTGGATTGGGATGACAACCTTCCAAGTGATCTAGCAACTAAGTGGAAGAACTGGGCTACAGAACTTTCGCAGTTATCGCATGTCGCCATACCACGCTGCTTACGCCTCGCAAACCCGAATAAAATGGAACTTCACCTGTTCTCGGATGCATCTAAAGACGCCTACGCATCAGTCGCTTATTTGGTGTGCCAATATGAAGACGATAGCCCTACATCACGCCTTGTCGCATCAAAGTGCCGTGTAGCCCCCACTAAAGCGATGACGATTCCCAGACTGGAGGTGCCATTCTCTCAAGCCGTTTAGTTCAAAGTCTTCTGAAAGTCCTGACTGTCGATCGAGTGATCTTTTGGACTGACTCCGAGAATGTGTGGTATTGGATACGAAACCACAGCCGGCAGTTTAAACCCTTCGTAGCCAACCGTATCGCAGAAATTCAACGGACGACGAGTCCCGAGCAATGGAGGCATGTACCTGGGATACAGAATCCAGCAGATCTAGCGACCCGAGGTCAATCTGCTATGGAACTAGCCAAAAGCACATTTTGGTTGGAAGGACCATCGTTCTTGAAAGATGTCGAGATCCCGGGGCCATCAGCGCCTTCCGTTAGAGAGGAGACGAAAGTTGAAGATATTGAAAAGACAGTGGCACAGACGTACATGGTCCAGGCGCGCGTTAACCTGGGCGTTGATCCAAACCATTTTTCTACCTTCCGTCGCCTTTGTCGTGTGACTGGATGGGTTCAACGATTCGTTACAAACTGCAGACTTCCAAGGGAATTACGAATACGAGACAGAACGCTTTGTTCAACTGAAACACTTAATGTGGAAAAGTGGTGGATCAAACAAGCGCAAGGAGAAGCTTTCCCGAAAGGAGAGCGAGAAGGATGTTTACTGCGACTTAGTCCAAAGAACGGTGACGATGGTCTTCTGAGGATGGACGGACGTTTAAGACTTGCGGATGAACTATCCTACAACACAAAACACCCCATTTTATTGCCAAAAGAGCACGTGGTGACCCGACTCATCATCAAGGATGCACATGAAGAACTCGGACATGGTTCCGGAGTTGATCAGGTTCTAACACTGCTACGCAGTCGTTTCTGGATCATAAAAGGAAGACGCGCGGTAAGGAATATCGTTGAGTCATGTGCGCAATGTCGACGACGTTTTTCTGTAAAAACAGCCGAGCAGAAGATGGCACCGCTGCCCAGACCGCGACTTCAATCGTTACGAGCTTTCGAAAGAGTCGGAGTGGATTATGGAGGCCCATTTCTAACGAAGCAAGGACGAGGCAAAGTCAAAGCAAAGAGATACCTATGCCTATTTACTTGTCTAGCGACAAGGGCTGTTCACCTTGAGATGTCATACTCATTAGACACGGCTTCCTTCATCAATGCCTTTACGCGAATGGTATCGAGGAGGGGGACGCCCGTATATGTTATATCGGACAATGGGACCAATTTCGTGGGCGCAGAGCGGGGGATGAGAGAATTAGTTCAAGCTTTTAACCACGACAAAATTGCCCAAGAAACCACCAAGTATCAACCTATTGAATGGAAATTCAATCCTCCATCGGCCCCTCATTTTGGAGGGATTTTCGAGGCTATGTTAAAAAGCGCCAAGAAGGCAATAAAAATTGTCCTAGGAGATGCAGATGTGACGGATGAAGAACTTCAGACCGCAATGTGTGGAGCTGAAAGATTGGTAAACTCACGGCCCATCACTTATGTGAGTTCAGATCCAAACGACCCGTCCCCACTTACTCCAAATCATTTTATAGTCGGACAGATCGGTGGGGTATTTGCTCCTGAAGCTCTTGATCAAGTTGAAGCGAACAACCCTAGGAATCGCTGGCATCGAGTACAACAATTGTTACAGCTGTTCTGGAAGCGCTGGAGAAAGGAGTTCCTTCCACGTCTTAATGTAAGCAAGAAATGGTTTCATCCCAAACATAACCTGAAACAAGGCGATGGGGTATTGATTGCTGAACCCAAAGCAAGTAGGAGAGAATGGCCTCTTGCCCGTGTGATCGAAGCGTATCAAGGAAGTGACGGCCTAGTCCGAGTTGTAAAGGTGAAATCCAGGAACAAAGAATATTTCCGTCCTATACATCGATTGTGTCCTCTCGAGTATGTTGACGAACATTCGGACAATGAAGATAGATAACTGAAACGTTTATAGAAGTGAACATAAAGGACGTTAATTAAGTCGTATTTGTTAGTATTCATTGACATTGCTAATCCCTCTATTTATTGTCTCTATTAAGTGGAATCGAATGCGTTGCATTCGGGAGGGGGATGTTAACGAACGATATTATTATATGAAGTACTTGTTATCATGACCGCTGAAATAGTCGCGCGGGCGACAAAACGTTGTTTGAACGTTCTAGTTTATATTTTTTGACTACAAAAAGTGTGACGATATTTAGGCTATTTTTGTGTTGAAAGACTCGGAATAAAGTGGCGAATTATCTCGTGTAGACATTTTATAGACAGTTCAATTAATCGGGAACAAATACTATGTTAATAACAATCATTCAGTTCAAATTGCCCCAACTCGGGGCCAAAATGCTAATCAAAATCCCCAGGGTGGGGATGGAATTGATAATCAAATACCCCACATATGCCCAAACCCCCCCCCCTCCCCCTTTGGGGGTTAACATTGATAGGTGCATAATAGCTAGAGACATTGTCAGATTTTTTGGTTAGCCCCTTGAAGTGCAGAGCTTCCCCATTGGCATTCGACAAGCAAAAAAAGTAGGGTGCACTGGGACGCATTGCGGCTTAATGAGTTAATAGGCATGCACACATGATCAAGCGTCTTTCTAGGCTAGACCTTTAGGGTGCACCAGAAACCATTTTTTTAAGTTCCGGCTGGAACTGGATCTGGCCTGAACTGGAAGAAAGTTCCAGCTGGAACTGAGTCATATGGTCATATGTTACTTTGTCTTCTGCCAGACAGTCAGACACTTTCAGTCATGAAACAGAGAGCATGCAAATGTTAGAATAAAAAGATTGACTAAATATCCGGCATGTGTTTGAGTCAAAATAGTATAAACAATCGAGCCATTTTATAGTCAATTGAAACCATTCTTTTACCTTAAATGAATTGAAAGCTCAAACCTAGCTTATATATCAAACATATCCGACTGGATATTCTGGTCGGATAGCAAAAAGCTCTACCTGGTTCAGTGGTTCACCCTAGGCTTACTAACATTGTCTTGGTGAAGCAATAAAATGCAAATATTCAGCCATGAAATATAACCATGTGGTGATTCATCAGTTTTGTATTCTGCTCTTTTATGCTACATATCTAATAACAAAGTGATAAAGTAAGAGTAAGAGCCAAGAGAAAATCACTCTGCATTGATATTGTGTGCTTCAGGAAATATATCTTCAAAAATGATAGAACTCTGGCTAGGGCTCCTGTGCAATTAACACTAAACCACATCATGTTGCATGTTTTATTTCTTTAAGAAGGTCTCTGGCCGTGCTTTTTTGTCGCCACCATGACAATGCACGTCAATGCTTTTTGTTTTGCTAAACTGTGTTTTCTTGTATATAAATATATAGGATCCTTGTTAATAAGATTCAATAAAGGTTGAGATTCAATAAATGTTCATATAACTCATAAAGGGTCAAGATTGTGCCATATGGGGGGGGGATTTGGCATGTTGCATTTGTCAAATCGTCGGAATGAGCTTGGTGACCTCAACTTTTTTGTCTGTTTTTATTATGAGGATATCATAAACTTCACCCCTGGGAAGTTTCCGCAAATTCTCATTCCCAGAACAATATTGATGAATCACCTAGAATCTTATTTTTATAATGTCCTTTAGACGAGTGCAAAGATTTGATGTTGATTGAGAAAAACCAGTTGGCTTCTGCAGCATGGAAGCTCACAGGTGAAGATGAGAAGCAAGTGTTCAAGAGTTCATCAGATGACCTCGAATCATGGCTGTTGGCAAAAACATGAAGCACAGCCAGGAGGAAAAACCTATAATTTTGCCCGTTTATACCGAAGCAGAAGAAAGGTTTTGGTTATTCTATGCTATCACTAAGCCAACTTAAATACAGCAAACAGGACCACTTACAAAGATTACTGGTTGGACCTTAGTCCTACTAACTGAAGGTTACAAAGTCCTGCATTCCAAACAAGGGACTTTACTGGGGAAAAACATTCGTACAATGCATGGTCCCATGTATTTCACACTGACTGAAACCTTAGGCCAGACAAGTTACAACCTTCCACTAGGAAATAGGCAAGCCATTGAAAAAGCTCCTGGAATGCTTAGTTAAGTAGCTTAAGTTTGGAGTAGTAATGTAAATAGATTTTCCTATACACTGTAAAAAATTGTACAATATACGTTTTATTGTAGTCGCTTATTTATATCTATTTTCTAAAGTTCAAACTTTGGAAGGACCTAATAGTAATAGTGATCTAGCAAACTTTGACATTTGTCTAGGCATTTAATATATGATCTAACATTCTTTAACATTGATTTAGGAATGTCATATCCATGATCTATTAATCCAAAACTCTTTAATTTATGCTGATTTTGGTATTTCATATCAATGACAAAAAGATTTCGTTACTTAAAATACACTCTACCACTGGTCTACGTTTTCATTAATACACTAACATCAACTAATACATATTTTCGATAATTACATCACGAGTACGTTATTGGCCTGGGAGCTTCATTCTCATGAATCGTGAGCCAATCGCCTTCCGTCTTGATTGACGAGAGCAAGGCTCCCAGACCAAGAATGTATTCATGACGTATTATCGAAAATGATATTGTACTCCTATGTATGTCATATCGTTGATCTAACAACCTTCCAATGGTAATCTAGGCATATCTGATCATGATTGGAGGGTGTTAGATCAATGACATGACATGCGTACATCAGTGTGTAATAGGGATTGCTAAATCAGTTATGATCAGACATGCCTAGATTACCATTAGAGGTTGTTATATCAGACATGCCTAGATTACCATTGGAGGGTGTTAGATAAATAATAAGACATGCCTATATTACCAGTAGAGGGTGTTAGATCTAGCACCCTCCAATGGTAATCTAAGCATGTCTGTTGGTAACTGATTTAGCAACCCCTAAGACTGATCTACGTATGTCATTTCATTGATCTGACAACCCTCCAATGGTAATATAGGCATGTCTTATTATTTATCTAACACCCTCCAATGATAATCTAGGCATGTCTGATCGTAACTGATTTAGCAACCCCTAACACTGATGTACGCATATCATTTAATTGATCTAACACCTTCTACTGGTAATATACGCATGTCTTATTATTTATCTAACACCCTCCGTTTGTAATCTAGGCATGTCTGATCATAACAGATTTAGCAACCCCTATTAAACACTGATGTACACATGTCATTTCATTGATCTAACACCCTGCAATGGTAATCTAGGCATGTCTTATTATTGATCTAACACCCTCTAATGGTAATCTAGGCATGTCTGATCATAATTGATTTAGCAACCCCAAACACTGATGTACGCATGTCATTTCATTGATCTGACACCCTCTATACTGGTAATATAGGCATGTTTTATTATTTATCTAACACCCTCCATTGGTAATCTAGGCAAGTCTGATCATAACAGATTTAGCAACCCCTAACACTGATGTACGCATGTCATTTCATTGATGTAGCACCCTGCAATGGTAATCTAGGCATGTCTTATTATTGATGTAACACCCTCTAATGGTAATCTAGGCATGTCTGATCCTAACTGATTTAGCAACTTCTATTAAACACTGATGAACGCATGTCATGTCATGTCATTGATATGGTAATCTAGGCATGTCTTATTATTGATTTTACACCCTCCGATGGTAATCTAGGCATGTCTGATCATAATTGATTTAACAATCCCTGTCACTGATCTACGTATGCCATGTTATTGATCTAACAACCCTCCAATGGTAATCTAGGCATGTCATATCATTGATCTAACACCATCCAATGGTAATCTAGGCATGTCTTATTATTGATCTAACACCCTCTAATGCTAATCTAGGCATGTCTGATCATAATTGATTTAGCAACCCCAAACACTGATCTACGCATGTCATTTCATTGATCTAACACCTTCTACTCGTAAGCTAGGCATGTCTTATTATTGATGTAACACCCTCTAATGGTAATCTAGGCATGTCTGATCATAATTGATTTAGCAATCCCTATTAAAAACTGGTGTACGCATGTCATGTCATGTCATTGATCTGGTAATCTAGGCATGTCTTATTATTGATCTTACACCCTCCGATGGTAATCTAGGCATGTCTGATCATAATTGATTTAGCAATCCCTATCACTGATCTACGTATGCCATGTCATTGATCTAACAACCTTCCAATGGTAATCTAGGCATGTCATATCATTGATCTAACACCCTCCAATGGTAATCGAGGCATGTCTTATTATTTATCTGGCACCCTCTAATGCTAATCTAGGCATGTCTGATTATAATTGATTTAGCAACCTCAAACACTGATCTACGCATGTCATTTCATTGATCTAACACCCTCTACTGGTAAGCTAAGCATGTCTTATTATTGATGTAACAGCCTCCAAAGGTAATCTAGGCATGCCTGATCATAATTGATTTAGCAATCCCAAACACTGATCTACGTATGTCATTTCATTTAATTGATCTAACAACCCTCCAATGTTAATATAGGCATGTCATACCATTGATCTAACACCCTCCAATGGTAATCTAAGCATGTCTGATCGTAACTGATTTAGCAACCCCTAACACTGATCTACGTATGTCATTTCATTGATCTAACACCAGGGACGCCGGAAAATCGATAATTGGGGGGGGGGGCAGATATTCATATATTCCTGTTCTGCCCAATTAATTTCTTTTGAAATCGATTGTTTTTACAGTCTGTGAACACGAATATATGAATATCTGCCCCCCCCCCCAATTATCGATCTTCCGGCGTCCCTGTCTAACACCCTCTGCTGGTAAGCTAGGCATGTCTTATTATTGATGTAACACCCTCTGGTGGTAATCTAGGCATGTCTGATCATAACTGATTTAGCAACCCCTATTAAACACTGATGTACGCATGTCATGTCATTGATATGGTAATCTAGGCATGTCTTATTATTGATCTTACGCCCTCCGATGGTAATCTAGGCATGTCTGATCATATTTGGTTTAGCAATCCCTATCACTGATCTACGTATGCCATGTCATTGATCTAACAACCCTCCAATGGTAATCTAGGCATGTCATATTATTGATCTAACACCCTCCAATGGTAATCTACAGGTAGGCATGTCTTATTATTTATCTAACACCCTCTAATGCTAATCTAGGCATGTCTGATCATAATTGATTTAGCAACCCCAAACACTGATCTACGCATGTCATTTC